GAACTCTAAGGATGGTGAACAATATAGAAAATATATTAAGAAGAACAAAGTTTTTAACTTCTTGGTAAGTTTGAATGCAAAGTATGATTTTACCCAGCAACATATCTTGACTATAGATATTATTTCTCTTGCCACAACATACTCCTTGGTGTAGGGAGAGGAGGGTAGGAGGGTTGCCATGATGCAAACTGTAATTGGTGATCATTCTCCTTACATGTCTACTAAAAGGAATCTTCATTTTGTAGAGAAAGTATGTTCTTAACCTTCTTCATGAGGTAAGCAAGGTGGGGTGCAAGCTAGTTGAAACCCCCATTGATTCTAATCATAAACTGAGTGTTGATGATTTAGACATTTTTTTCCGGCAAAAGTGTTTATCAAAGATTTGTTGGTAGGATTCTATTCTTGTATTTGACTAGGCCCGATATATCCTATATTGTAAGTGTGGTGAGTTAGTATTTGCATAGACACACAACTTCACATATGCAGGTAGTCAACAAAATTCTTGCCTACTTAAAGGGCAAAGGAATGTTATACTCCAACTAGGGGTGAGCATGGGTTGGTTCGGTTTAGTTCCATGGTAGAACCTAGAAGCTACCTTTTAGGGGTTGGTTCTAGGTTTTTGGAACCAAAACCTACCATATGAAGGTCGGTTTCTGGCCTTGGTGGTTCTGGGGGTTGGTTCTAGGACCTACCCATGAAACTTGTTCTTTCTTCACTCCCCCTTCAAAAAAAATAATAAAAAAAATAAAACTTGATTTTCAATAAATATAATATATAATTTAGAACATATATTATCTTTATTGATTAAATTGAGTAACTTAATATGTAGATTACCATCATATGGTTCAAAACTTATAATTTAAGTTTAAATTTTGTAAATATTACCTTTTACATTAATTATTGTACACATTCAAATATTAAAATGAAAAAAAAAGATCAAATAAGTATGTAGATGTTTAAGTAAGACCATGGCCTTTGTAACCATGAGTGCTTGGATTTAAATCTTCACATTCCTAAAAGTATTTTAGGGTTTATTTCAATGCATATTCACCAAGGTCAGTTCATCGGGTTGGTTTGGGTAGGGTAAACCCCTAGGCCCTAGAACCGGCATGGGTGGGTTCATTTCCAAGAATTTGGAACTAGACCCTACCCTGTAGCAAATTGGGTAGGGTCAGTTCAAGGCCAATTCATGGTCGGTTCCATTTGGTTCCAGGTAGGGCCTACCCATTTTCTCACCCCCTAACTCCAACCATGGACATCTTAAGGTTGAGGCTTATACTGATGCAAATTGGGTTGGCTCTGTGAATGATTAGACATCACCTCTAATTATTGTGTGTTAGTGGGAGGCAATGTTATATCATAGAGAAGTAAAAAACAATTAATTGTTACCCGATGTTGCATAGAAACAGAATATAGAGCTATGACTCATGGTGTATCATAGTTACTTTGACTTAAGACTTTGTTATTTGAGGTCCAATGAAACTGTATTGTGATAACCAAACTGCCATAAACATTACCCATAACCCAGTCCAACATGATCAAATAAAGCATATGAAAGTTGACAAACACTCACTTCATTAGAGAAAGAATAGCTAATGGAGAAATATATAGGGTATGTCTTTTGTCAAAGCCAAAATTTGATAGAAACCTTATCAAGATAGACATAATAAATATCTATGCTTAATTTGAGGGGGAGTGCCAAGAATATGTATTTTGAGCATAGGCTCTTTTGGTTTTCTTTTGTATTTCGGTGCTCTCTTAGGGGCACTTATGTAATTTTCTTGAATAGTATAAAGTGATTTTTTTGTGTGAACAATAACCCAATTCTTTCAAAGACACCTTCTTATCTTCTCTTTCTCTTTCTATTTCTCTTCCTCCCTATTACTTGACAACTATTGCTTATATGTTGTTTGAATGGGGCCCAATCAACAAAGCTAAAACGCTGTCATAGGAAAGTCCTTCCAAATATGCACTACGAGCACAAGTCAAGAAACGGCCTAACATGCTTTTTGGGCCATAATTTTTACCCTTCTTACTGCAATAAGTGCTTAATAATATCCTTTCCCAAATAGATGGAGTCTACAAAGTAATAGCCAAAAAGAAAAGTTGGAGGGTGGGTGTTGTTACAGGTCCTTGTGATTTGTGAATGAAATCTTTCATGGAGGTACAAGATTAAAATATGTGAACAATGATATCTTTAAATATTTCTTTGTTTTCTTTGGGAAGTTTTATTTTCCTATTTAAATATGCAAAATTCTAGAGAGAAAATGGAGAGGTGCCAAGTCCTAACCTTTGCAATTTTTTCTGCTTTTTTACAAAATTCTGGAAAGAACAAAACAAAAAATGAATATTACACCACACTTGCTCAATCAAACTTAAATTACTGCTGACAAGCATGGTCAAACTCAATGCATGTGCACACAAAGGTGGTGTTTGGTTTTATTGCATTTTTTAAAAGGCAATGCAATGGTGTGTCATTTTCTTAAAAAGCAGGAATGCATGGCACTGTTTGGTTCTATTATTGTTTTCCGAGCAAATAGTCTCAAAGAATTATTTAACCTAAAAGCGTAAGTTGTTAGGTGAGGTCCTTGAATAGGTTGACATTCTTTAACACACCCCTTACACGGAAGCCCATTAGACTTGAAGTGTGAACAAGCACAGACCCACCCATACCTTGTGTTAAAACTTAATTAATTATAATGGGGGTAATGAGAATGGAACACTAAACCATTTGGTCAAAGTGGCTCTAATACTATCTCAAAGAATCATTCAACCTAAAAGCTTAAACTATTAGGTGAGGTCATTGAATAGGTTGATATTCTCTAATAAATAGTACCACATCAGAGTTAGCCACGTCAACCACCATACCAAAAGACATTTTGATAAAAAAACGCCAAAATGGCATTTTGTCAAATGGACCAATTTTTGAAAAAAAATGATGATGTTCTTTTTTCTTTGCCATTTTTTTTAGAAAACATTTAACCAAAAAGTATATTGATGCATTTTTTTGTTATTTTCTCAAAAATCTGATGTGCCTATTCCATTTTCTAAGAAAATGACAATAAAACCAAACACCAACAAAGTAAGCTATAGATTCACCTTTTTGAAGTTTTTACTATCTAAATCAAGACCTAAGAGCTTAGTGGGTAGTTATTGGCCCAATATGAAGCCAACCTTCAAACATCAATTTTTTTTTTCAAAAATTAACAAGTTTGTAGGATTTTTTAGATCGAGTATTTTGATCACACACTTTTTAGCTTTTTTTTCTTTAGGTAAAGACCCGCTGGCCGTTAAGTTAGATGATGGAATGCATTAAATTATCAAAATACTCATCTGGACTTTCCTTATTATTTTTTCCTCACCCTTTTCTCTTAAACCCTAATTAACCCAAAAATACCTCCATTTGCTCCAAATGAAACCACTTAAGATAACAAGAACCATTTCATTGACATGGAAAAACAAGTTTCTTTAAATTCTTGTTTCATTTTAGTAACATGAAGGTCTCTCTTTATCTTAAAATTAAAAATTATCCACTCCTTTCTTCAATAAACCAAGAAATACCAAATGAAATCTTAAATTCTAACTATCAAAAGAAGCTTCTATCATTTCATCTAAATATTGAATCCAACCAAAAATCTAAAAGGATTTATCGGAGCAACCAAGAGGACTTCACTATTATATTTAGATAACTAATTGAATCATAAATGGTTCAAATAACTAAGAAAATGGTAGTTTGGGAATTTAAAAAAATTAAACAACTGAATGAAAACCATTTTAAAAGTTAACTGCTAGAATTCTAAAAGAGGGGGCATTTGTTGCAAAGTAAAAGTTTAGGGGGGTCTTTTTTGCTAGGCTATACATAGATCGGTTATGTTTGGTTTTATATAATTTTATCAACCGAACCAAAAATATCAGGTTCATTTTTATGTAAACCAAAACCGACCAAGTGGCATTAAAAACCAAGGTTTTAAAAACTGACCCGAAAACGGAACCGTTATGGCCACTGGTTTTTGGTTCAGCAGTTCGACCATCCGAATCAAACGGTTCGAACGGTTTGAGCATTTTACCCATTAGATTGGAATATTAGGGCAAGATGCATTAATGCATACTATATAAGAGGAAATAAGGGTTGAAACTTGAAACTTGAAAGCTGTCGGCTGAACTGAAAGAAGAAGAAGAAGAAGAAGAGGAGGAGGAGGACTTGCAGGCTTGCAGCGGCGATGAGGACGGCGACGGTGATGATAAACTACAGCGGCAATAGTGGCGGCGTTCTCAGTCTCAGATCTCACTCTCTCTCACCTTCTCGCACGAAAAAGACAAATCTGAGATTTCTTAGTTTCCGATATGAAATTTTTAGAATTTTCAAATCTAAGATCTGGACAGTTCTCCGGAGCAGACGATTTACCGATCAAATTATCCAGGTCAACAGTCTGTTGAATAATTCAACAATTTTTAATCAAATGGCAGATTTGAGGTAAAACAGAATCGATCGCCTAAACGATTTCCGATCCAAACAGTGCAACCGTCCAGGTCATTGACGGTTCGAAAACATTGTTAAAAACTCTTGGTTTACATAAATGTTGGTCGGTTTAATCGGTTCTAATTCAACCGACATAAATTTCAAAGCAAAGACACATATACAAAGATCGGTTCTAATTCAACCGACATAAATTTCAAAGCAAAGACACATATATGAAGAAGGTTATTAAACCATGTGGGTCCCATTACGTATCTTTTTATCAGTATTCGGTGGGTTCCGCCCCCCAAAAACGTACCACGCGCTGTGAGTGCGTCGCGTGTCCTCCCACACGCGAATTAGAGGGACTCGTGCGGAGCTAATCGTGTGTCTTCTCATTTCAGAACACTTCAACCCTTTGAGCTTCGCCGGTCGATGCGCTCACTTCAACCTTCCACCTTCTGCTCTCAGAACTGAAATCCGCCGGAGACTGCACCCCTTTGAATTCCGTCGGTCGACGCAGACGAACATTCCGAAAGCGAAGCATTTTTAACAGCGAGAAGCGAAATGAGAAGGATTATATCATCTGAAACAGAGGACGAAAAGTTGGGGATTATATCCTCTGAAACAGAGGAATATTCAACAAAATTGGATGTTGCTGTTAGAATCGTCCAAATGGCTTGCTTTCTCTGTCAGAGGGTGCAGGAGAGCTTGATTTCCAAGGGCAATAATCAGGTTAAATCCAAAGATGATAATTCTCTGGTCACGGTTGCAGGTAACTGCATCGACTGTCTACAAAATGGTTTCTTTTTGGTGATTCTGTATGCTTTGTTGTGTGCTACTTATTTTTCATCCATCACAGTTGCATTAAATGGAACCCTTGCTTTTATCCTTTTATTTATTATATTTTTCTGGCGAGTGTTCTTTCAGTTTTTCCCCCTTTGTTATTATCTTTTTTTTTTTCTTTCTGAAGGAAATGATTCTGCTGCTAAACATGAAAATTTGTTATTTCTCTGAGGGACTTAGGGTATGGGTTCTGTTTCGTTTTGTAGTAGCCACATCTTGAATTTGTTGGTTGGTTTTGGCTTGGTTTACAACTGAAGCCTGGGAGATTTTACCAACATAGGTAAATTTTTGGTTTTGGTCAATGGAAGAGACAGAATTGCAGATGTTGCAGCGGTTCTGACTTGTTGGCGTCGACCGCGGAACTGGAAGGAGGCTCTCACTCCGAAAAAAATGAGAAAAAAAAAACAAAAAACATAAAAAATGAGAAAAACTTACCTCCGGTAAATAAATCTATCGGAGTGGTCGTCGGCAACGATCGGTTTCAATTCTGAGAATAAGAAGATCGAGGGTTGAAGTGATCTAAAATGAGAAGGATGACCTTTTAGGCAAGAGGATACACGGTTCTCTCCGCACGAGTCCTTCAAATCCGCGTGTGGAAGACACACGGCGCAGGGCGCACTCACAGCACGTGAGGCGTTTTTGGGGCAAAGTTGTGGGGGCGGATGCAAACCCGTATTCGGTGCCATGCACCATTAATAATTTCATTTAGTTTTTCTTACTGAATGTTAGAAAAGAGGTGTTCAATTGTATATTGTACCCAAATAAGTTGTATACTTCATAACTTACAATTAAATCATCACCACACATCCTCCCTTGGTTGTCCAAGTATAGCATCGGCCCCTCTGTTTATGGCTTATATGAAGCCTGTCATTACATTTGCATTATCGTTTTTATTTTATTTTTAGCTTTTTACATTTTAGTTATTGACTTTTTATGAGAGGCAGCCTGACCTAACAGCTTGACACAATGAAGGCTAGAGAATAGGAAAGCAGGTTAGGAGCTGATAACTTAACAAAATAACAAATATGAAGGAGGTTAGGGCTTTTGCATACATACATAAGCTCGGGTTGGTCTTATTTCGGGTTACATAGACATATGACGCAACCAAACTGAGCCTTCGGATTCTAAGTTTTCTAAATCAAAGTTGACCAAGTTTCTTTTAGAACCAACCATCTCGGATCAAAGTTGATCCGGTTTGGTCAGTTTGGTTGATTCTATTTGTTGCAAATGAAAGTTTCGGGGGTTAATTGTCACTAACCCCCTTAGTAAGGGGGAGTCTTTGTAATTGTCTAATTGGTCTTCGGGTCAATCTAAGGCCTGTTAAATCACAGATATAGTGTATCACTACCAATGGGTCGGGTCGGGTCCAAGTCAGGGCAAACATGGTCCCGAATTGATATAGATGTGCAGAACCAGTTCCAAGCCAGACCATAGTGACCCAGAACCGACCCAATTACTAATTGGGTCTGACCCAGATTGTGACCTGCTAACCTGTACTTTGATAATAAACCAACTTATTTTTCAAGTTGATATTTTTTTAGGGAAAATTTCACCTTGTACTTTGGGCCTAGTGTCACTTTGGTCCCTGAACTTTAAACTGTGACAATTCAGTACTCAAACTTTCAAAACGTACCAATCTAGTACCTATCATCAACCAATCGTTGAAGTGACATTTAAAAAGACACAAATGCCCTTCAAGTGTCATCTAATTTTCTTTATCAATTATCCAAATGTTGAAAAAAAAATGAATAAGTGACCCCAACTTTCTTGAATAGAAGAGGCAAGGATTTAGGACTGTTAATTTTTTATCAACGTTTGGATGGTTGATAAAAAAAAATTAGATAACACTTTAATAGGCTAGTTAATGACAAGTACTAGATTGACATGTTTTGAAAGTTTGGGCATTGAATTATCGCATTTTAAAGTTAGGGGGCTAAAGTGGCACTAGACCTAAAGTACAAGTACTAATTGAGAATTTTCCCTTTTTTTATTCTACTGATGACAAAAAAAAGGACTACAGACCTACAAGGACGCATATGGAACAGTAAAAGAAATCCTCCCAGAGAAAAGACGGGAGGAAACTTGGAGGATTATCAAAAAGCTGTAATCTATCTTGTTAGTCATACGCACGATTAGCAAGCATATCAACACATCTATAGCAATGAGACAAACCACGTTTTGGAGCTGGTCCAATATGTAGGGAATTTTAGACTGCACTCCACTGTAAGGCACTCTGCCTTCCAACTATCATTTTGACGAACTTCTAGGGCTGATATTGTTGACAAGGAATCAGATTCGATCACAAGGTTGGAAAAACCCCACTGTAAGGCTTGCTTAGTTCCTTGATGATTGCCCATTGACAATCCTATTTTTGAGTACTCTTAAATGAAAAAGAAAGAAAAATAAAAAAGTTATTTAGTTTATTTACAGTATATGGCATCATTTATCAAAGGATGTATAAAAGGAGAATGGGTTGTTTTTTTTTAAGGAAACAAAGTGATGAGAATAAAAATTATCATATTTTTATCTTTAATATTCAGTTATTTACACTTATTTAGTACCTAATTGGACTCACTATTCTTGTATTTCGATTTAGGGCACGAAAGAAGGCGTTGGGTGAAAAATAAGACCAATCGGATAATTTTGCACAGTTTCGGCGCCGTGCAGTAATCTGGCATAACTCTGAGATGATTCAAGATGCATTGCAAAGATAAGGAAAAACTCTACAACTTTCATGTTTTGAGTTTTGATATATTCGGACTGCATTGAGGTCAAAAACAAGCCCAAACTCTAAGCCAATTCGTAGAGAAGCCTTGCAACAGCCCAATTCGTTGAAGAGGCCCAATACGAATGCAAGAATAAGAAACATCAAAGAGTCCTATCAAATTCAATTTTCTATTGTATTTCTAGAATGTTAAAAGAGATTAAGATTACCAGTTAAGAAATAGGAGTAGATTAGATCTAATCTAGGCATTATCTATTAGAGAACTAAACTCCCAATGAAGAAAGAACTCCTTAGAGGAGCAGGAGACAACTCCCTCCTAAGTCTATATAAAGGGGGCGGACTAGCACCCAAGGCACCACTCAACCTTAGAGATAGGAAATCAGCAAGCAAGGGAGAAAGAAGCAAATTGGGAGCAATCGAACCTCTCTTCTCTTCGCCCCTCTTCTTCATTCTCTAATTTTCTTTGGAGTTTTCACCATGACCATGCGTGGCTATACTCTTGTACTTGGTCGAAGGAAGCAGAAGCCTCAGAATCCACCAAACTGTGAGATCTAATTTTGTTTGTATTGTTTAATTCATGCTTTGGATATCGAATGTTCTTCTATATTTATATCTATGATTGTTTCATTTGATTGCTAGGAAGGCCTACTAGTTTATTATTCGTTACAATCTATTGCTAGATTAAATATCAAATCCGTAATTCTTAGATCCCTCTAATCTGCGAAGCAATTAAGGTTTAATGATTTGCTGCGTCAGAAATTGTTAGATCCTAGGAAGAACAGTCGATTAAATTAAATGCAACCGCTTGTGCTTGTATTGTTTAGCTTGATCGATCTCTAATGCTTAATGCTATTGATAGATTAAATCTTTAACGCTTATTTAGGAATTGTTCAGTAGTAAGGGTTAAGATGATCGCTTGCGATTAACTGATAGTAGGAAGATGCAGGAAATTAATTCCTATAATGAATATTCAAAGTCTGAATTGATTTATCTTTGCATCGATGAGCAATAGTGTAACTCTGATGGCGGATGTTATCCTGGACCAAGATTTGTTCCTTGATTAATTTCAGCACTCGAAGTTACCTAAATTCTCCTTTAAATTGCGTTTTTTATTCATTCTAATTTTCGTTACATACACCCCCCTCCATCTTTGATTCACGTAACACATAATTTGGGTTAGATACTCTCTATGGGAACGATCCCTACTCGCACTGTTACATTCCATCTTTACGAGTAGAAGTTTATTTTTTGGTGCCTCACAAAGCAAGACTGGGGCCTTGTCCTTTTTCTGTTCATTCTTCAAGTTGTACTTCTGGAAGGATACAAGTGCTTTAATTTCTTTTTCACTTCTAGTTCTACTTCTGGAATTGGATGTGCTTAAATTAAATATAAATTTCCTTCACCAAATTCACTATTATAGTACTAAAAGACAGATGGCAGTAATTTTGTCTAGTAGAATTTGAGTTTTTTCCTCATGCTTTTGAACATTTTTTTATAAAGGTTTCTGATTTTGTCAATTCAAAAACCCTGTTTGTAATGCAAAAATTGTTCAATATCTATATGTTCAGTATGCTATTTATCTTCATCCATTTGAACCTTAAATTGTTACTGATGTTTCTTTATCTGAGTTTTCCTAGTATCATGTGCAATTTAATTTTCCTGGTATTGACCATTTTATTTACACCATCCATTGAATACCCTAGTTCTGTCAGACTAAATGCATTCCAAGTAAATTTTTCCCCTATCTGGTATGATTGAAGAATCCTTTTACAAGAAACATTACAAGAATAATCAGCAAGTACTTAATGCAATACAAACATATGCACATACCAATAAGAGAATTTTTTAACTGTCCACGACAGGCCATGTAAAAAGATGCCCAGAGTGAACACTCCTGATGATCAATCTCCAATATAACCTCTATGATTAATGGTATCATAAATTATGCAAGTTTCAGACAGATGAAAAGATATACAAGTTCAGCAAAGGCAATGGGAGGAAACAAAACATTCTACAGATTCTGCTTATATATGTGATTAAGCAGAAGTATAGTTGTACATAACACGAACAGCAATTTACACGCCAGCCCATTGATTCCCAGTTCATTAAATCTAGCCTTTCAGATTCTTTTTCCTTTGTGGTTTGTAGGATTCTTGGACAGTCTACTCTTCTTAAATTTCTGAATCATATTGTAGACCTGCATCATAGGAAAATTAATAAAAAAATGTATAGAGATTGGTTCCAAGAGAAACTAATATGTTTTGGTTATGAATACAATTCTGCTCCAAAGAATTATAATCTGAAGAATGAATTCTGAGTGAAAGGCGATTCTTTTTTGAAGCTAAATTTTTTAGATTCAAAGAATACAGTTTTCATAAATTCAAACTTAAAAGCAATTCTTTAGAATCATAAATTAATTCTCTCAAAGCATGCCAAACACCAAGCTTCTTTAAGTAATTAGTTCTATATGTTCAAGTAAAACGTGCAGTTTCTTTGTGCTAGTTTCCAGAAAGGCCAATACAGGACAAAAGCTTATGAAATCATTCAAAATATACATGTATATCTTATATAACCTTTCCTCATAATGGATTTTCCTTTCAGGAAAGACTTTAAGGGAATGGTTTTATAGTCAGGTAACTTCCCAAAACAACGTAGGAATCTTCTGTGCAGCAACTCAGTTTGGAGCAAATGGGGTCTCCATATTCCCCTGCTCACCCCTTATTCAGGGAAAAACTTTTGGCCCGAAAGACCTTACCACATGTTCAAGTTAGACCCTCTTTCATAGACAACCTTTATATTAAAAACGTTAGTATATACAGTTTAGTTGAGTGGACAAGAACTTCCAGGAAAATAAAAGGTCATGATCAAATGGAACAATTTCCTACATTTTATTTCAAATCTTAGTCAAATATTGGCTTCTCATTTCATGTAGTTTCCATCTTAGAAGCAATCATGTAGAGAACTACCTATGGAGCATCAAATCAGATTATTAGGACTTGGGTTGTAATTTATGTCTGTACCTTTCTTACACCAGATGTCAATCCCATGCTTTGAATGGACTTTCCATCTACCAATTTCCATGTCACTGTCTCTTTGTCCATCTTTGGAAAAATGATGTTTTCCCCGCCTAATGGCAAGAAAAAACTTAGAATGGCATATATATACAAAGTGAATCATGAATTATAAGGTCAAGTATACAGGAGTGCACCCACAAACCTTTTAGATGTAAAACCATCAATTCCACGTACATTCTAAGTTGAATGTGGGAGAAAATATGCACATATTCTCCAACAACTTCCCTCAAGGCTATGCTACAGTTTCTTTTGGCATCAAGATTGAAAGATTTCTTCAAGTACTGATCCATTACTTTTCTCCTTGTAATTAAATTTACTTCTCCACCCAGCAGCACAGATGGGAACTCCCAGAGGCCAGCAAGCAATCCTTCTTCCGGCCTCTTGACAAGAAGAAACCCTTTGCTCTTATGATCTCCCTCTTGAATATCTGGGCCTTCAGATATTTCAACAACACAAACAGCTGCAAAATCGCATCTTTTTTCAGCCTTTACAATCTTTGTGGGATAATCTGTAACCTGTATTGATTGACAATTTCTAGAGACTGAAAGTGCATGACATTGCTCTGAGATGGGGCATGTGGAGCAGCTCGGGCTCGATGGATTGCATATGGTTGCTCCAAGTTCCATTAGAGCTTGGTTGAAATCTCCAGGCCTAAGGGGATCAACTAATTGCCCTGCCAGTTTCCTATGCCAAAGGAAAAGACCAAAAGATAAAACCTCATACCGTACCCAAGCTCAGCATAATCATGGCAGTCATACTATATCAAGGTTAATAATAGAAGTGCAGAAGGACCAAAGTAAAATAGACAATACTAGAAAGAAGATGAGTTGAGTGGGAAGCTCCACATACAAAAGGAAGCAGAGCTAGTAGGAAGAACTTTCCTCCCCTCTCCCAAAACCAGAAATTGAATTAAAATATGAAACTCCAAAACCTCTAATAAATCCAGGGATATGCAAAAGCTTACCAGAAACTCTTGATGGTTTTCCCCTCCTTTGGATTGGCAGAAATAGCTTTCAGTCTAGCAATCACCCTAACTACATTTCCGTCAACCACAGGGACTGTCTGAACAACAAAGCTTGAACTGTTAATGGGGTGATAGATTTTTATTTTTCCTTCCTCTTTTCTTAGGAAGGTAGGACTCTAAATTTTGTTAATTGTATAATATGCAACAGAAGAACAGCACAACCTACGCACCTCCTTGAAAGCTATGGAAGCGATTGCTCCAGCGGTGTAATCTCCTATTCCTGGAATCTCCCGAAGAGCAGAGACAGTTTTAGGGAACTCACCTCTTTCAACAATCAGCTTTGCTCCCTAACCAATCAAACCGTATGCAGTTAGAAGGAAATGAAGCCATGTTCAAATGCGAGGAAATGGGGCTCCCCAGCAAGCTGGAGAGTGGTATTTGGTAAACACTTCAGATGACAAATATGAAGTTTAAGCAATAAAGCAAGAAAAGAAAGGGGCACCAGTTGAGTCTATTTCAGCAATTTAATTGGAAATATTTCAAAGCTTCTGCATTCTGGCTGAACTGACCTCCAACAGATAGCGAGCCCGTCTGTAGTATCCCAAACCAGCCCACATTTCATTGACTTCCTGCCCACATCAGGAAGAACGTCAGTCGTGAAAAGGTACATCTCAGTCGTCTTGATTCAGCCAAAATAAAAGCTGGCTTCTGTTACTTCTTGGATTAAAACCCGTCCAGAAACTTGAAATGCAAAGAATACCTCTTGAGAAGCCTGAGCGAGATGATAGACAGTGGGCCATTTCTCCATCCAACGGTTGTAGTAGTCAATCACAGAAGCAACCCTAGTTTGCTGGAGCATCACTTCGGAAACCCAGACGGCATAAGCTCGAGTATCACTTACACCTTGTGCATTATTATCTTCATCGTCTTGATTCTTTCTCCAGGGCAGGACCCTCTGGTTCTCGTAGTACCACTGTAGCAGAGAAGACCTCATCTTTAGGGTTTCCTCTCTGGAGAAATCTTCAATGTCGACCTCTGTGTCGACGTCTCTACCACTTCGTGCTCTCTTCTTGGTGATCTTCTCCTTCTCCCCCAGCGCCATGGAGGATTTGACCGTTGTGTGGTGGAGTGGCGAGACAAAGATCACCGAGAAAGAGTCCCGAAATTCAAATTGTAAGTCTGGCCAACCTTTCGCCGCCAAGTATTGGAGATGTAGCATGGAACGGAGTTTGCACGAGTCCCACGAGTCCCAAATTTATGGAGATTTCTGCCTTCGGCCTTCTGCCTTGGGTTGTAGCATGGAACGGAGTTTGCACGAGTATTGGAGATGTAGCATGGAACGGAGTTTGCACGAGTCCCAAATGGGCTTCTGCCTTCGGCCTAAATTTATGGAGATTTCTTCCCACGAGTCCCAACTGCCAAGCTAGGCTGCATTGGGTTGCGGTTCAAATTTGCACCTGCTTCAGTTTTGCATCCTTTTGCTCGGAACTCTGAGTTGCGCCTTATGTAAAATTTGTAATTTTTGTCTCATTTGCACTCATTAGCAATATAAATTTTACTCCTCAAAACTGATGCAAAAATTTGCACCACTTATCTCCTACCTCAATTCTCTCTCTCATGTAAAGTAGGAAGTGGGAATCACACCATCTTGGTAGAGTTCCCTCTTCTTTAATTTCCCTTTGATTCTCCCAATCTCTCTCACTCTTCCCAATACTGCGGCTTCTGCTTCTCTACTCCTCGCCCCGGCTGTAACAACCATACCGGTGCCCTAATTGCTGGCGGCGAGCTTGCAGTAGGCGTGATAGCCCTTCCCTTTGCATATCGATTAGAGCCTAGCCCAATTGCTGCCGCCCATCACTTCCTCTTCTCGTTTGCCCCAATTTCCCTCTTGACTCGTCTAGGGGGCGGTGTCAAGGGAATGATGGGCTTCAGTCGCAACCGAATTGGGTTACCGTCGTAGCTTGCAACATCGTTTAATTTCGATTGGAAGTTCGCTATCTGTTTGCCATCGTCAACCTCATCGGACGGAGTTGTTTTCTTTGACAATGGGCCTTATACAGTGGTTCCAAGCATCGACCTATCGGAGACACTTCAGTTGGAGAAGAATCTTGTACAGTTGGATGTGGGTGCTTCGAGACTGGGGTTCAATTCTTCACTCTTGACCCGATAAATGACGTACTCTGACTTCAACCTCCATCCGATTCGCAGAGGCTCCTCAATTTTTCTCTCTCTAATTTATTAGGATTTGTATTAACAATCCTGCACTGATTTTTTGGACTAACTACGTGAATTTTAATTTATAGACGTGTGAATGAAATTTTACTTTTTCCATCAAAGGAGATGGATGAGTTCGATAATTCAGAGGCACATTCCCAAATAACAGTATTACACCAAAAAATCTAGGAAACTACGAGAAAGGTAATTGGAAAACTCACTCTGTTCTACTTGCAATAGTTGACATCCGTCTAGCAATCCTCCCCTTTGACGACATCAGCAAGCTAGTACCGACTTGGTATGGTCAATGGTGGCGAAGATCGATGATGTTACCGCCACCCGTTTCACCCCATACTCCTTCATCACTTTCAACACATTAATCGTCCCTTTGACCACCAGATCCAAAAGCTCTCTCAATTAATTAAGTAAAACTAATTTTCATTTGTTTTGCCTCAAAGCCTCCGAGAAGGACCTCAAGGTCTGCGACTTTATCCCCAATGCAGGGGAAGCAAGGTGGATTACGCTGACGGTTCCATTAATCGTGGCCACAAGAGAATCGTAGTCGAGGAGATCGATCTAGAAGTGGTGGAGAGACGGGAACTCTTCTCCTTGTATAATCGATGTGCCATTATCTTCTGAACTCAATAGCAGTCAGCCAGGTAGAACCAAATTGGTCGAGCAGGACAGTGTTCGAGCAATGTCATGAGGAAGAAGATGAACATTGTTCGGGCAGATTATGGAGTTGATGAGACGGTTATTTTAATTCATAAAAGGGTAAAATATGTATTTTGAAAAAAATGATCTATCTTTTTAACGTTTTTCGTCTTGGTCATTGATGAAAGGGAGGTATTTGTTAAAATTTTCAAAAATAGAGGGGGGGTTTTTGCTAAAATAAAACTATAGGAAAGGTTTTTTTATTGTCATAAACTTTAAAGGAGGTTTTTGTATTTTATCCTAAAATTTAAAGTGAATAATTGGAACTTTTACATCATTAAATCGATTGATTATCGATGCAAAAGTCATTCGATGGGGAGGTTTTCGATGTAAACCTTACATGGAAAACAAACATGATAAAATACGGGAGTGGAGTTTTATATTAGTTCGTATTTACATTGAAAACAAAACCGGGTGTCAGCAATCGATTTTTGCTCCATCTTCCATCCGAACCTCCAACTCACATTCGATCAAACCGTTCCAATCTCTTCAAGACTCAAAGGAACTCAAATCCTAGGCCCCGAATCCTCAAAATTCACCATTGGACCCATCAGATACCCTTGAAGTCTGAAGATACCCTTCAAAATAATCCCCAAAATACCCTTCACGCTAAATTATAAAAATACCCTTCAAAACAATCCTCAAATACCTTTCATCCCCCAAATTCCCTCACACAAATTACTAAAATACCCCTCGCTCAATCTGCTAACAAAAATATCCTTCCTGAAAAATTACCAAACTACCCTCACACTGATCATCAAAATATCCCTCGTCACATCAAAGGCCTGAAGCCATAGTTCCCCCATCTTGAATTGTCGAAATTCCCCCCACCTCTAAACCCTGAACAATCCAACGTACTTAAACCCTCCAAAGAATCGCTGATATGATATTTTCCCCGCAAACTCTAAGAGTTCCTAAAAATACCCCCTCTAAAAAACCAATCCTCACACCTGAACCCCTTTTAAATCCTCTCAAAACCCCAAATCAATCTAGACCACCCCTGAATACTGTCTTCAAATCTCACCCCTCAGATGGGCACCTTCATAGATTTTCTTGCTCCCCCTCACCATTATAAAGGGAGGGAGCGTTGTTCCAAAGGCAAGGGCTTTCTCAAATGAAAGAGGGGTTTCTCTCGAACAGAAGAGAGACACTTCGGTAAAGAAAAAAGAGAGACGAGATAGGGTTTTTTCTCTACTTAGACTAATGATTAGGGTAAATCCCTAATCATCTTTTCCACTTCGGTAAAGAAAAAAGAGAGACGAAAAAAGAAAAAAGACACTTCGGTAAATCCCTTACCTCATCTTTTCTACTTCATCTGAAACCCCAATTCTTACTTAGGTTAATGATTAGGGTTTTCTCTTTAGATTTTGTTTGCATCTTACAACTACGTTCTTTGTTTTTTTATCTGTTTATCTGTGCCTGTTTTTTGAGTTCCGGTATTCCCTGGCATCTGGGGGTTGTTACCTTGTTCTTTCAGCTCTTTAGACCAATTGACTAAGTCTGAAGGTGGGGACTGATCCCTTTCCTCTCTCCCTTTCTCTCTCTCGACTTATTCAGACCAGTCTCATCCAGGCTAGAAAAGCATGAAGTCACCAAAATTCAGCTAATTTTGAAAAAATTAAACTCCGTGAGGCCCATCACTCCTCATTACACATTTGACAATGGCGACTCCATCATCTTGTCCATGAAAGTGAACTATCGGTTTTTTCAACATTCGCAGTGGATAAATGCAAACCAATGGTGGCATTTTAGGTCAACTCGCATTTACAGCAAAAACAAATGCAGCCTTAAGTACGGCAATAAGTAGAGTATCCATGAAAATTGCCCTTCCTATTCCTTGACCTGTCCAAGCACCATTGATCCCAAACTTCTTTAATTTTTCCTCCTAATTTCCTTAAGGTCATCCTATTCCAAACTACGGGTACAACTTGGGTGGGCCTAACCCATGCCAAGATTGACCTAGTTTGCAATTTTACACGGTCTAGGCTTGGGATTTGGTCCTCAGGCGAGGCCTCAACCCAAAAGTTCAAGCTTTTTAGTGGGTGTTTGGCACCGAAGCATTTCTTTTGTGCTAATGTGTCATGCACACCACATCATCAATTAAACGGAATTGGCAAGAAAATCGCATTTGCCAATCCTAGTTTTGAAAAAAAAAACGATTTTTGTAATGATTAGTTTTGGAATTCAGGAAAGGAGGGGTTTCTTGAAACATCAAATTGATGTTTCTATAAATATATTATAATATTAAGCTAAATCACTTTAAATGCACAATCAGCCTACAACTTGGTTTTCTCATGTTTTTCAAAAAAAATAAAATAAAAAAAAGATAGGTGAAATGAAACACTATGAATCGGGGCCCACTTGTGAAATGCTCCAATGCCAAACACCACTCGATTATATATATGTATATATGCACTAGTATATGTATAATGTGCTTTGCACGTGAGGAATGTGATGATGATGATAGTATATAACTTCAAAAGTTGACACATTTGACTCGAAATGTTGAATTTATCTACCATCAAACAGAAAAAAAAAATCACTTTTGGGTTAGTTTTGAATTTTGTATTTTATTTATATCAATAATAAGAAGTTAAAAATAATTCCTGTTTATTGTGTCTATTTTTTAATATGATTAATATAAGGTATTAAAGATGTGCCAAAATGTTTTTCTAGAGTTTCTACCTTTTCCATTTTTTTTTGTATTTTTATCTTTTTAAAGTTTTATTATTTAATTATAATGGTTGGCACATATGATCCAAAAGGTTGAACTGTTGATGCACTACCATCAAAATAATTTCATTTTTGGGTTGGTTTTAAATTTTATATTTTATTTTCAATATCAATAAAGTTACTATTATTTCACGCTTATTTTTCTTTAATATGATTAATATATATATATATATATATATATAATGTGTGTGTGTGTGTGAAAGTTCCTACTTGCTCCTTTATAGATAAAAACTATCACCAAGTAGTTCTCTCTCTCTCTCTTAATTCCTGACAGAGTCTAATGAATATATGCCCTTTGGATCTAAGGGCATACATTGTCAGCATTCTAACAGACAATCTCTCATCATTTTAATATAGTCTTGAAATGTTAGACAATGTATGCCCTTAGTTTCAACCAAATTGATGTATACAAATATTTATGAATAATATAAGTACATTATTGTTTCATGGTCATATTTGGTATGTTTTTGTAAATTATTCCTTAAACTAAACATTTATGGGACTCGTATTAGTTTATAATGTTTATAGCCATTGGATAGACTTGGAGAGTTTATCCTGACAAGGCTGACACTAGTGTGATGTCGAATTGGTGGAGCAGCTTGTCTCAGCTATTATGGTTAGATCACAAGCATAACTGGTGGGTGTTTGAAAGAAACATTGAACTCAGATTAATTTGTAGTTATGCCTTGGACCTTGGAGATAGATGGATAAAATTGGAAAGTTGCACTTAACCCCAGACTTGATTATGATACTATAATAGGTTTTGGACTAAAATATCTTTGTTGTGCCAACTAGTAAAATCCATCAAGAGTCAAATAAATGTGGGTGATTATAGTGATAGGATCAGCCCCTTTGTCTAACAAAGTGAATATCAGGGTTTATACTCAATTTAATGAAAATCTAAAATACTACCATTGGATTTCAACTCTATTTGAAATATAATATGCAAAATATATTTATATGTTATATTACTATTTTATGAAAAATGTTTTAATCCTGTGATCCATCCAAGCAAAGAGTGTTACATTGTATTTTACAATCAGGGAAGAAGTCATTCCTTATAAATAGTGTTTTGATGATTATGACCCGAGAAGTAGGTGTAAGAGACTAGGGCCGATTTACTGATGGGATTCATCTTACATAAGCCATGAAGCCCATTGTCCTTGGGTATTCATAAGGTGGCTGAATCCGGGGAACAATTATATGTAAATGTTGAGAGCCCAATTAAGCCCAAACTGATTAGCTAGGGGTCTTAGCCCTTGGGTAGTAAATTTGGCCTAATCTCTTTTAGAAGTGGGCCTGAACCCTTATGGACTTGTGTTGGACTTTTGTAGGTTTCATGCCATACAATGTTCAGGCCTATATGACCTTGCAATGCATTGGAAAGTGAACCATTAAAGAAAATGGGCCTAAGGCCCATTACTAATTTGATTAGTTAGGTAAGCACATGACAACTTGACATGGGGCAAATTTGGGTTATGGATATGGGTATGTACCCATTTCTCTGCATTTCCCTTCCTTTTCTTATTTTTTCCTTCAAACCAAACATAGCCCAACTGATATACATCTCTTCCCTCTTCTGTCTTACTTCTATCTCTACTATCCACATACTAATTAGTGCTTGTAAAATGGATCTACATGCTTTGTCTATACTTTGGACTGTTAATTCATCACGAAAAATGAATTCTAAAATTGGCCTGGGTAGAATAGTCTCGGTCTCTAGGTGATCCCTGAATGAAACCATACTAACACTACATTAACGTGGTGTTTGGCGTGTTGCGGGAAAGTTCAAAAGACCAAAACAACTAGTCTTTTTTCTATTTAGTATCACATGGATCCAAACACAAAAGACTGAAAATCACGAAGTTTTAAATAAAGCTTTTGATTTTTTCACACCGAAAATCAATATTAAATACAAAATATAATTATTAAAATTATTAAATCTTTTTAATTAATTAATAATAAATTTTAATTATTAATTTAATATTAATTAATAGTAAATAAAATTATTAAATCTTTCAGATTTTCCCTTTATGTTATCATATAGATCCCCGCTATATATATATATATATATATATTACTTCTACATCTTCAGAATCAAATTTTCAGTTCGTTGCAGTACTTTTTGCCATATCCAATTCTCCTCACTCTCAGAACACAAGGGTTAGGTTTTTTTTTTTGACGCCTAACACAAGAGTTAGTTAAATAAGTTTTTTGTAAAATTTAGGGGTAGTAGTATTTTACTATTTTACCCTGTTTAAAACATCGCTGTCTTAGTAGGAGGTTAGGACTCCGACCAATCGAGGAATTGTCAGGCGTCCCGAACTCGTTTCTGCCCTTCTGGCTCTTCTGCCGCCCTTTTTCCTGGTTCAGTCGATCTCTGCTTTGTTCAAAATTCTGATAGGCGCCAGTGTTGTCGAGAAGGCGAAGGAGACAAGTAAGTTGGTAACAATCATCTCCCAGTCTTCGGTATTTTCGTAAGCGATATTTCTTGTTCCGTTGATCTAGTTGGTAATAACCATTGCGGATCTCTTATTTATTTATTTATTTATTTTTTGAGTAAGTAATCTTTCTTGTTCCAATTAACTTCTGATTGAATTAGTTAGTAATAATCAGCTCTCAGTCTCTGTTTTGTTTTCACACGCAATATTTCTTTTGCAAGTACATGAAAAGAAAACTACCACCACACCAGACCGATTACAAATCTGACCGAACATCTGCCTGAGATGTCCTCCTCTAAGATGGCCTGCAATGAATCCGGGGGATCTCCGATCCTTATAGCCATGTCTAAATATTGGTGACTAAGGGCTGCCATATGATCTGCTCTGTTAGCATCCCTGAAAACGTGCCTTATTCTAGTATCTTCAAATTGTTAATTGCACTCGCTGAGTTCTTGCCATCAGTCTAGGTATCATCCTCACTTTTTTAATGGTATTTTCAATCCTTTTATTGGTATAGTATAGTATTGTCTCCTTTAATATCTACTCTCGTTGAGCATCGTTGGCAGGCCAAACTTAAACCCAAGAACCTGTTTTCTGAGTCCCTGAATACTATTCTACTCTCTGCATTATCCCCATTCTGTCTTATTGATCCATCAAAATTCATTTGTATCTACTCTGTTTCCGGTCCCTTGTATTTGATCTGTTGTGGCTTCTTGAATTGCTGCTTCACCTGCACATTAAGTTTAGATTGACATCTGGTAGCTAGTTTGAATTCTTCCCCTATTAAACATGCTTTTCCAAGATTCTCTTGTGGATGTGCCATCTCATTGTTAAAAGTCTTCGGTTTCTAGCTTTCCAAAGTTCCCACATCACAAAAAGAATTTAAGTGTTTGGTATAACTCCCTTCAAATACCAAGCTTGAATCTCTTGTAATCTCTGAGATGCTTCCTCACGTTGGTGCCTGTCTCCATGTCCCATTAGTCTCCATACTCCCTGTGTGAAATTGCACTCTAGAAGAAAGTGTTCTCTTGTTTCAAGCTGCCCAAACCAATTACGACCTACTTCAATGTTCATGCCCTGGTTGTTTAAAATATTCTTAACCTGCAGTTTGTTTAAGCAGATTAATTGCAGAAAAATATGCACTTTTGGAGGGCAATCAATTTTCCACACTTGGAATTCCTGATGATTAGAATGATTATCAGCGCATCTAATATCAAACATGAATTCTGATGCTGATTTGATAGAGAATTCTCCATTCTTGCTTGAATATACAATTACAATATTGGTCCTTAAAATTTCTGTGACATATTGCTGGTTTTCTTCTCAACTTAATGTAAATTTATCCTTTCCTTGTCAATAAGACCCTTTTTATAGAAGCATGTTAAGAGGGTCTTAGTTGATTCCAGCCTTTTCAAGTGAAAGCTTATCTCTTTATAGTTTCAGCTAATCACTTTTCATTTGTAGGTCCATTTGGTTAGGAGATAGGTTTTCCCCCTTTCTAAGACAGTTAAGGTCTTTTTTTTTTTTTTGAGAAAAGTTAATCAATATTCATTGGTAAAAAAAGAAACGAGATACATGAGGAGGTGTACAAAGCAGGGGGAGAACCCCTACAATTTACAAAAGGAGGAAGTTTGTCGCTATATAGATGCTCTAAGAGCGCACCACATTTAGCTAAGCCATCTGCTGTATGGTTGTATTCCCTAGGAATCCAAACTAACTTTACATTTAGGCATTCCAAAGAGTCCCTGGCCTCTTCTAAATAGTGACTTAATCTCCATGGTCCCCCTTCCTTTTCTCTTAACCATTTTATTGTATTTGCTGAATCACCTGCAATGGTTATATTTTGAAATCCCAAACTTTTTATTATTCTGATTCCTGTGAGGGCAGCCATAACTTCAGCCTTTGAGGAATCTGCCATGCCTATAGGACCGCTGAAAGTCCAAACGACGTTGCCCCTTTCATCTCTTAATGTTCCTCCAATACCAGCTAATCCAGGATTCCCTAAGGCACTTCCATCAAAGTTTAAGATCATCACACCTTCACTGATGGGTCTAGGAATTCTCAAGGGTGGTTGATGGAGGTGAGGGAGAAATAAGAAAAGGTGAACATCTCTGTTGAGGTCATTGACTGAGACTCCTCTGAAGAGATCAGAATTCACCTCCCAGAGGTTGCACAGATAAGAGATGTCTGAAATTAACTCCTCCAAGGGCCTTGATTTGTTGTCAAAGAGCCTTTTGTTTCTTTCATCCCATACACCCCACAATGCTGCGTGTAACACTGATTGCCAGTAAATTTTACCCCTCTTACTTAAGCCTGTTCCTTGCCACTGATGTAGAAAGTCCTTGACATGCTTTGGTATAACCCAACTGAAACCTGCCATTTTCAAAAAATGGAACCAAATCTTTTGGGTGAATTTGCAGTGAAGGAAAATGTGATCTGTTGATTCTCCCACACTGAGGCATAAGGTTGAAGCAACCAACTTGAGTGGCATCTACTCTGCCTTATCTTTTTTATCTAGATTTCTTTGTAGAATTCTTTATGTAGGTCAGAAGCATTCCTTGTATCACCTCACCCAAGTAGGGATTTTTTTTAGTAGCAGGTCCTTTTTTTGACTTGGAAAACAGTTGGAAATAAAGAGTTTGGGGAGAATCGAGATCGAGTGAATTCACACCTAGAAAATTTTCGTTTAACTTGTAATCTGAAGTGCTATACTCGAAGTAGCAAGGAAGAAAAGAGAATGACAGAAAAGAAGAGAATGTCGAACT